GCTTGAAACCCTAGTTCTATGTTTTCAGATAACTCCGGCCCGGCCTTTTTGTCTTTCGAGGGAAGGAGGGCGAAGTCAGGGTCATAACCTAAGACGGAGGCGGTGGCACGCGGGTTTAATTCAAAGAAAAGAGACCAGCGTACGCGACGTTCAAAGTCGCTCCATGCGTCTAATAATATTTTATGACTAAATTTCGGAGGCAGCATGAAATTTAGTCCAACAGATAAATGTACAGCGTAAATGTCCGGCACAACCACCCCGGGGCCACGATGAATCGGAGCGCGGAATCTAACCGCCTCTGTGAGCCACTCAGGCGCACGCTCCAACAACACTGCAATAGCAAGGGGGGGTGATAAGTACAATATCTCATTGGGATAGGAGGAAGGGTTGACGTACGACCACTTCTGCGCTTTTACGTAGCGCGCCCCTTCCCTTTGTCCTTCTTCGGTCCAGAACCTTTCTGGCCCGACTTGCCCGGCTTCTTGTGAGCCTGGCCGGACTTCGCCTTCTTGCCGTTCTTTTGCGGAGCGGCCTTCTTCGCCGCGGATGGTACGGCCCGCTTCTATGAGACGTTTCATTAGCGGAGATGAAGAAGTGAAAGAGGAGGAGGCAGCGCTTACCTTCTCGGCTTCTTTCAATTGCCGGGCTACTTCAGCCCGGACAGCGGCGGAGGAGTCAGCCGAGGATGACGCAGTTGCGTCGCCCATCTCGACGTCGGCGGACTCCTTGAGTTTCTTTTTTGCCAACTCCTTGGCATTGGCGATATCCTCGCGAGAGGTGACCACGTCGCGAATGCGAGTGGCATATGCCATGATGTCCTCGTTAATGTTATTAAACGCGACGATGGAAGCGGAAGAGGGGCCTTGGTCGGCGAGATACTGGATCTCGAACGCACCCGTCACCTCATTGGTGACGTGCCGGATCTTTCCATAACGCTGGCTCTCTTTAATGAGAGCCCACTTCCCAGCAATCGCCGTGCCCAAACGATTGGCCACGGCGTCGGGGTCGATGACCTCCGCATAGTGCTGGACTTCCTGTGCAGCTACTTTTATGAAGCTGCCCAGGAAGTCGGACGTCATGTTGGAGACCGTAATCTCCCACATGTCCCGCTCCGACTTGTAACCGTCGGAGTCGGCGAACGCCTTCCCGACTTGGAAGGTGGGGGGCTTGAACCCCCGTAGTTCGGTCGGAAGAGTACCGGCCGCTTTATGCTGCTCCAGGGCACGGCCCCGGGCGCGAGCATTGATCCATTTCTGGATCGTAGCAGCCAGCTCATTCAAAGGGGTGCGAAGCACCTCCCGGTAGTCAACCGGGACGAGCTCAACGATCTCGGCCACGCTGTGTACGTGACCGAGTGCGGCCACACGGGCCGCGCTCGTCGAGCCGCCTGAAGCCATAACCCCGGCGAGGGAGCTAGGCGAAAGAGCGCGAGTGACAGCGTTAGGAAGGAAACGGGGGCGGGACGTACCAGACCCAGAACCTCCCGGGGTGGCGGAGGAAGCACGGCGAGGGGCGGACATTATTGCTGTCGGCGAAGGGGGTTGGTTAGGTTAGGTTAGGTTAGGTTAGGTTAGGTTAGGTTAGGTTAGGTTAGGTTAGGTTAGGTTAGGTTAGGTTAGGTTAGGTTAGGTTAGGTTAGGTTAGGTTAGGTTAGGTTAGGTTAGGTTAGGTTAGGTTAGGTTAGGTTAGGTTAGGTTAGGTTAGGTTAGGTTAGGT